ACACGGANCGATCGTATCATCTTCCGGTGTACANGCATATATGTATAGAGCATGCGCACACATATGAGCACGGCTCGAAGCCCCCCCCCCCCGCCCCACCCCCCGGCTCCCTCCTCGCCTGCCCACCTCTTTTCTCTAAGCGATTTCCTTCGCGTGCTTCCTCTTAATTGGACCCCCACTGTTGAATTCGTACGATACAGAAACGGAAACGCGTCGGGGAACGCAATGGAATCCCGGCGGCAAATCGAGGAGGCAGACGGCGATGGAGGAAGCGGAGAGGCGCGGCGAGTTTCTCAGGCATTTTCATGGCGCTGCGTGCGGAGCGTCGATCAGAATGGAAACAAAGCCGCGCTTTCGCGCCTTGCCGTGCGGATTTCGCGACGAATCCCGCGCGGCTAATCTCGTTGGCCGACGCGCGTCCCATGGAGCCCATGAGACGGACTTGTGCGCCTCTCAGATCGAACGAACGGATTAGAGATCTTTCGGGGGATCTCAACGGTACTTCTCTCCTCTTTCCCGCGGAACCAAACGCACCTGTCGTCGAGGAAACGCCAAACCGTGTCGGGCAAATTGCCGAAATAAATTGATGTGAAAAAGAACGCGTGTTTTCTTTTATCTCACTTCCGTCCGCGCTCCATTTTTACTTGACGAAAGACTCGCGGAGGCATCGTTACTCGTTACACGCGATGTCGAATACGTTAAGAGGCGCGACGAGATTTCTCAGACAGATTGAACGACTTCTCTCTTACAGCGCCGAAGGTATCCGAGGAGTCGAGAAATGTGAGATTTAGTCAGGAACGTCGCTCCTCTATGAAGGAAAAAGATCGCGGATAATGAAATATTGTCCGCACGCACGAATTCCCAGGTAGGAGCGCGCGTATTCATGAGCCGGAATTCTGAATGGGAGTCCACGGGCTCTCCTGTTCCAGTGTATGGATAATGAAGGCGTCTCGTGCGACAAAAATACTGTCAACTGTTCGCTGGGGGGGTAAGAAGGAGGGCTGGTTCTTACGCGGTCCTGTCATCGCGCTTTTTCGACGGTCGAGCGGCCCGGGGTAGCGCCACGCAGGTAGACAACATTACAAATTGTAAACAGCCCATTCTGTCCGGATCTCCGCGCGCCCCTGCCTCTCGCTTTTAATTCTCGGCGCACGGTTTTTCCCGAAACGGTGGCAGTCGTCGATGCGCCAACACGTAGGGACGGGGCGCGCCCGTAAAAATACTGGCAACGGTTTGTGAAACGAAAAGATTCGCCGTGCCTGAACGAGAGTAACGGGAAAACGAAATTAGTCAGCGTTTCGTTCTAGAATGGCTGCGCGATGTATTCCGGTCTGCGAGGAAATTCGTTTGTACGACATACGAAATAACTCATTACGATACTGAAACAGCGATAGCGCGATGTACGGCTCCCGTAGAGGGAAAAAGTGCGGTATCATCGCGCGATGATGGCGGAGGAAATCGAGCGTACGCGCGAGGATGTTCGATGAGAAAACAAACATCGATAGATGCGTATAGAAACGTCAGCGTTCGGTGGCTGTCAGCCGCGTAACTCAGCGCGCGCGGCGGAGGCGGTAAAAATATTGTGCGATAATATTTAGAGAATGCTCTCGTTCCGGCACGCGGGGTGTCTGTTCGGGGCGACCTCGTACGTGCACGTACGAATGCCACATGGAGGGAAATACATACGCACACGTACGCGGTGTGCGCCGATCCTGCCGAGAGATATACGAAGCAGCTGCTTTGGAGGCTGCTTGCCTGTGGCTGCTCTCTTGCCTCTGCTATTGCTGCCGCCCCCTCGAACCCTTCGTGAAACCCTTCCCTTTTGAGCAGTTGGGGAATTGTAAGCAGACCTGGGACACGTGACACGGGCGAGAAATTTTCTAATTTCTTTCCATTTACTTCTCCATGTGAAATACTTTGCAACGCTCGCGCGCTTCGGAGTGCCGCTTCGTTTAGTTCGTACGTTCGCGGTCGCAAACACGTTTTATGCAAACCGAAACGAACGGAAACGATAAAGGGGAACTGCTTTCAGTGCTCTCTTCGGCAATTCTTCAAACTTCTCACTCGCGATAATATTGTAACTTTTGGTACTTACGAAGGTAGCAACGCATTGCCAAACATTCGTTTTGCACAAATTTTCCTAAGCTAAAATGAGGAAGAATCTTAATTTTCTCCGAGTTTCTGTCTGTTAGGATCGGACCCTTAACACGCACAAGGCTGGTATTGTATTTGTCGGACGACAAACTTTTTTAAGTGTGTCGATTCGCTGCAGGATAGCAAAAGTCTCGAGTATCTAGAAATTAACACGCTTGAAAAATTTGTCGTACGACGAATGTGATATTAGGCTAAAAGGATCGAACAAGGGGACAAAATTTGTTCCAAACACGGAAGAGGACATTTGACTGTTCTAGATAGGCAGGAGATTGATGTCTCTCGCGCTACAAAGTTGATTCCTCTCTGGTACAAAGCAATTTTTCGCACAGAGTCGAGTCGCCTTCGGAAGTTTTCTACGCATACTGTCGTGTACGTGTACAAATGCATTCGGATATATGATTTTTCAGTAGTCTGTCGATGGCAGTAACCGTATTCGGAGAATTTCACACAGTGACGCAAATGGTCCGCGATCCTAGGCTCTCGAGCCTGTGCAAAAAAAATAATACGCGTGGAAAAACTATAGCGATTGTTCAAGGTTTGCAGATGTAAATCTCCCTCTTCTCGCCCTAACCATTCAGGCGACGAACACTTCGATCCTGAATATTGTCTTAAAAAGTGGAGACATGAGAGTCTGAGCAGAATGGCTGTCTTGTATTCTTAAGTCATAAGACAGTTATTGTGCGTTACTTTAAGACAACGATTTAAAACACAAAGCATTGTCTTAACAGCGATTCTGCCCAGGTCTTGAGGCAGAAAGTTAATCGTGTCCCCGACTTTTCTATTCACTCCGCGCAAAATTAATTGTTACCGCCCACTTTCGGAGATGCACTCTCCGGTGCAGTTGACTAACGCGATTGTAAACCAACTCGAAGTACCGAGTACAATTCGATAAATTAGAGCCGATGAATGATTCCAAGTGATACGAATGACTACACGGCACGTGTTTTTGCAGACGATACGATACGACACGAGTGGCGGTCGAGTCGCGAGGAGGAGAACCGGCCTGAGCGCGTGATACCGCGTGATCGCTATCGCGCAGTAGCACACGTCAAAACGGGGAGATATTTACGCTAGAACGCGATAATTGCGAAATTGTAGCACGGCAAGACCGCCGGCGATAGTCGTGCGGCCCGTAACAACAGAATTAAACGTGTGTACACGCCTGGTGTTGAAACAATTAAAACGGGGAAAATCTGAAACGTGTCGGAAATGCAGTTCGAAATTGTTGCAGAAGGCTAAGCTCACGGTGACTCCGAGTACTTGGTGCTTTGTTTAATGTCTCACAAATATTCGCTCCTCAACTACAAGTAATCTGTTCGACTACAAACGATCATCTTAATGAAATATCAAATATCTCATTTAAATTGATCAAAATTTTCGCTTGCGCAAAGCTTGCCGTGATTGTTATACTTTTACATTCGATTAAATTTCCGATTAAATTTCCGATTAAAATTTAACGATCGCTGTCTAATTCGCCGATGACATTGCGATAATGTCAGGTAATGGAGAACCGGTTCAAATGCCTATCCGCACCGGCGAGCTTTACGTGGGTTTCGTTTAGTTAATTGACCTCGAATCTTAAAACCGCGGCATCTCGATGGCGCAGCATTTCTCGCAACGGCTCGCTGACTCTTTAAACCGTATTACTATCAATGACTTCCTATAAAGATTTTTCAACGTAAAAACAATTTTATGGATACAGCGTTTACAACATTTTTGTATAGAAGGTCTTTGAGTCCGTACAATCGGACAGAAAAAAGTCAATAAATGCCACGAGAGAGAGAGAGAGAAAGAGAGAGAACTTGACAGCTTTGAATAAAACACATTCATCTAGCGATCGCCATCGGTGGGGGACGGGGATTTTATGAGGGTTTAATGCTGCCAGAGAGAGAGAGAGGTGCATCCTAATTGTACCAATAAATCGCTACAGGATCTTTCTTCTCGGCCCTCTCGCTCGCCTCTTTCTCCCCGTGTGTTTGTGAGCACGACACGGAATCGAGATATCGTGACGAGCGTACGCACGCCCACGTCTCCGTATTCAGTGCTTCGGCAGTTTCGACTCGTTGTTCAAAACGCAATTATACAGCGGGACAATATCTCGCTCGTGGCTAATAATAGCGGCGTATCGTACACGCGCCTCAGCGGTGCGCGTATACTTAAATAATCGACACATTATTTGGAATGTGAACGACTTTCTTAGCCTCGTACACGTATGCGTCATTGTCTCCCGCGAAAATTCTGTTAAACAGCGGCAAAATAACAGATGGCGCGATTAATCGCCAATCTCCTTGTACAACGAGAATTCGTTTAAAGCCACCGCAAACGGATCGAGAGCCTCTATTCGTAGCCGTAAAGGATTCGCCGTAAAGGTGATGCGCGGCCGCGGGGCGACGAAGCGCGAGTAAATTTCTCGACGCGGTCGCCGGCGATGATCGCGAAAAAAAAAGCGAGATGCCTCTTTTGGCGGGTGAAAAAAAAAGGCGCAACAAAGGCACAGCGTAACGTCGCGCAGCGGGGGTACAGCCGATGGCACGTTGCAGCCAGGCAGCGATGTCGAAGGCAACGAGTGCGCGCGCGAACCGAGGTAGAGGACGAGAAGTCTCCGGCGAGGGGGTAGAGAGAGAAAGAGAGAGAGAGCGCGAACATAGAAGGGCGGAAGGGGGCACGGAAGACTGGAACATCGCGGCCCCACATAGGGCACACGATGCGTGGACCGCAGGGGGGGATAATAGTGGACCCATTGAATAGATCAATTTACAATGGCAGAAAATGAGCAGTTCCCCACTCCCATGTTGCATCGCATGGCCCCTCTCGACGCCTCTCCGGCCCCCCCTTCCGCCGTCGCCGGCTCGACTCTCCACGCTTCGGTGCTTCTCACGACTCGACGACCGCCGTGGTCGGGCCCCAACTGAGGACCGCGCATGCGCCGTGCCCCGCGGCAGCCATGACGCATGCGTGCGCGCACGCACGCACGCACGCACGCACGCACGCACGCACGCAACGAAACGCGAAATAATCCCGCGCACAGCATGCGGCCCTTTTGTCGTACGGCCCTATCGCCGCGGCGGTACCGATATACGGAGCGAGGGGACACCGAGGGGTACGAGGGCACGGCTCACACGGAACGCCTCGGAAACCGCCGCAAGAGGATTGTCACCTGCTTATCTGCCGACGTGCATCGTCGCGTGTGCGTGAGAGACCTACGCGCTTAGTGACGGCCTTCAAAGGCAACGCTCGCTTGAATATCGATGCCTGCCAAGTGTTGATTTGCCGAGATGTACGATACATCCGAGGCGCGTTCTCGCGTAAAAAGACGAAGCTACGGGCACCCTAGGAATATACTTGGAGTAGATCGAGGAATGCGCGAGAAAGAGGAGCGGGACCCGCCGAGCTTCGATTTAACAGTTAAATGGTCGTCGGCGAAGTTTAATAACTGGATATTTGGTTCAATGCTTAAAATTAAAACCCAAAGCAAGTACAATTGAGTGAATTATTGTTGCTTGTGGCAGCCCGTGACGTTAACGTTTCATTCAAGCAACTTCATTTTGCTTTAATTCAACAGCATTTTTTTCCCGTGTGATAAATTACGTGTCTTTGAATTTCCGAGCCTCGATAAGTGCTAACAATTAATGTATTACTCGCGTTGAAAGAACGTAAGAGTATCTGATTAAGATAACAATCGAGCGTATCAGTTAACCATCGCTAATCAATATAAATTAAATATCTGAAACGGATTTCACCTGATATCACGTACGCTCTAAGCGCAAGTATAACAAAGAGTGCAGCAAGTTTTTCATTTCAAGCTTTACCGCTCGTTTCCTTTGCCACTGATGTTATTAATTTATCGTTATTAAAAAGGATCTTAAAGGGATACGGAAGAAAAGACTACACTGATAAAAAAATATCTTAATCCAAAAAAATGTCACTTTACTCAAGAAAATTATTCATTTAGGTGGCTCCTAATAGCTTATTAACTTAAATTTAAAAAATACTAAACAAATTAAAACATGCATTTCTTCAATTTAAGTATTTATCAAATATCAAACAGTATTTAATAATTCTATAAAATGTTCACTAATTGTAAGATGTAAGTTTTGCGGCGAAGAAAATTAAATTTTTTATTTGACAATAAATAGTATTCTCTATCTCACGAAATTGTAATGATTCAAATTAATTTACTTAATTGACTTTTCATTAAATTTCAGTAAATTAAGTAAATTCAAATTAATTTACTTAATATAATACAGATTTACTTTAAACTTGATATTTTTATTTAAATAAAATAAACAGTTACTCAAGTACAAAAATAACTTTAGGTAAATCTATTTACTTAGTATAAAAAAATTTTTTTGTCAGCGTACGCCGTCAGATTCCACCTCGGTACGACTACGGATTTAATCGCGGGACTAACTACGACGCCAAGGGAGGGGGAGGAGAATATTCGAGCAGGAAGCGGCATCATATTGAGACGATACCCGCGCGCGCACGGCACCGTCTCGCGGAATAAACGTCCCGCAGTCATAAGCATTATTTTCCGTCGGCGCGTTTTGAAATGCACCTTATGGCGCGCCTTATTAAGATGCAAATATCACGTCAGTTTTGCAACGCCGCCGGGATACCTTCGACGGTGCACACCGACGTAATAACGCGTCGACGCTGGCTCGTAGATAAGTAACACGGGGGGGATGCGCGACTCCCGCGAATTTCATTATTCGCTCCGCGCTATCGGGAGGGAAAAAAATTCTGCCGGGAAGAGAGAAAAAAAAGTAGCGACGCGCGCTCTCGATTATCTCGGAAATCTCGATACGCCGGATACTTGGAGCGTTCTTATCGTTCCTGGCGCTTTTCGGCATTAACGAGACAAAGTAATGTATACATACACGGTCGCCACCTTATCCTACCTCGCGCCGAGGCTTAATTCTTATCGTTATCTCGGCATAGCGTTGCTCAAAGCCACTGCTACCGTATTACCGGCACCCTATATTTAGACGTAAGTCTCAACGAATTTCTTTCTCTCCCGGCGATAATGACGCGCGAGTGCGATCGCGTGAGTACAAGTCATTCGCGAAAATTCCCGCGATCGCACGTCCGTTGTGCAATGTGACGCCGCTGATACGTTACTATCTGTTACCTCGGACGAGAATTTAATCGATGATACAGGACGCACGACTTCGGCTCGGTCGCGTAACGGCCACGTGAAAATAACTACCGGTGGTAACAGCTAACGATGCGGCGCAATGGGTCCGATACCCTTCAATCTAAATGTGCTGAATTCGTTTGCATCGCTTCACCATAAGCAAACGAGCACGATAACATTTTTATTGCCCGCTCTGTCGCCTCGGCTTAATACGTCGCGAGTGCTGTATTTCTAGAAAATTACGTAAAAAAGAGCGAACGCAGAAGTGAATGAATTCTTTTTTTTCCCCCTTTCGTTACGCTGCGCCCAATGTGTCGTCATTTTCGATCCGTTTTCCGATTCACTGATCGTATCGAGAAAATGTGCTATTCGCAGTATAAGCCGAGAGATTACGTGGCCCACAGTTCAATATACCAACGCTCAGTTACATAAATCGTTAATTAGTTCAATATCTCTGAAGTAGAGCAACCTCCAAGTAGACCAGCGGCAGTGAGGAAAGGTCAGATATGGAATATTCGTTTCTCTACTTTCCTACTGGCGAGTGACACTAGCCGTTCTAGTTATGGTGCGTCGCGCGTTATCGAACGTGTAAATGTCCGCGGCGAGTAAATTATCTCTAGGAAACACGCGGAAACGCACGTTCGACCGGTACACTTTCCGAGACCTTCGGCCAGACCTACGTGCGCGATCCGGCACGCAGACAGCGAAATGGTATGTTTTAAAAGGTCCAAATCGTTTCACGGCATGCGGCCCCGTAGGCTCTCGAGTTACCTACGCGTGTCCTTGGGGGGACCTGCCTCAGGTGAGCCGCTAGAGGGAAAGAAAAAAATAGGAAGCAAGGGAAGAGAAAAAACCCGCGCGCGCGCGCGAGCGGGCGAGTCCTCCGCCTCGCAGCTAGAACGGGGCCCGGGTCTCTCAACGGTAATCCTAAAAATAAGTCCCACGATAGGCAGCGTTCTTCTTCGAGGCTTGAGACACGCTAGCGAGTCTCGTGCGTGGATCCACGTCTCGGGACGGAGAGACGAGACGCGCGTCCTCGTGACTCATGCGAAGGCTCGAAAATCCCTCCGGGACATTCTCTCACGGAAGAGTCGCGCGACAGTTCGCCGAACAAAGTCGCAACATTTTCGCGAGGGCCTCGTCCAGGGATCTCGACCTTTTAAGCCTGATCGGCAGTGCGCTCCTTGCGCCTGGAAACGTTTTGTTTTGCACCAGCGAGTCGAAACGCTTCAAGGATTTCTCGACGGCATACGATCGTACGACGTACGATTTATCAACTTGCGCAAATTCTTTGAACTCATCGGCGGCAAAATAGATTGTCTCTAGAGCGCATTGTAGATCAGGCTTGAGAAATACGCCGAGGAGTAACTGTTTGGGAATTTCGTTTATTTTTAAACCACGCGAGCAAGTCGGCCAAAGAGTATCATCCCCCGACCATGTACGATCTCATTTATCAATTGGATATCGATTTGATTCTCGAGATGCGCCGTTCTACGAGTTAATAAGCTCGCGGATTCGATCGTTGCTTCGCACGAGCCGACGTGAATTGGCGTCTCTATACATCGTAACGCATGTGCACGGTACATTGAATGTTAAAGGTAGACTTACTTGTTTTGAGAAAACGGCGATATCCTCGTTGAAACTTTCTGACGAACAGACATCACCACCAGCTACACCGGGCTCGCGCGGCGTACACGTTGCCAACTCGCACTTTTCGAATATGAGTGCGAGGAGCGGGAACAGGGGGTGTCTGAAAGCAGAAGCGAGAGAGTTGCGCTGAAAGATAACGGGAATATAACGCAACGGCGGGTGAGCGCGCGAGCGGCAAGATACGCATTATGCTAACGGAGCGTGTACCGCATCGCGCGCCGTTTCGCGGAGCAGCGCCGATCTCGGTAGGCATGCTAATTAACACCGCAATCTTCCGAGCCTCTGCCCGGCGGCTTCTGGCCCGATTCGCTTCTGCGAAGAGGCGATAAATTATTATCCGATGCGCGCGATATTGCGTAACGTGCGGCGGCGCTCGCGAAAGGAGGCGCGAAAATCTCGCGGCGGAACAAACCGGCGGCGTTCGCGAGTGTGATTAATCGAGATCGATATAATTAGCGGACCCCGTCGCGTACGTGTCGCGCAGAGATACGCGCTAATAATACACTCGTTCGCGCGAGGAGGTGACCACTTAGCGCAATCATGGAGCAGTGTCTCCGAAATCATTATGACATCCTTACCGGAATCTCCGTGCAATAGTTTTGCCTTCGTTCTCGAGTTTCTTCACTTGTTAAACAATAAACGTAAAATGTCAACATTTTCTCAACTTGTTTTCCATTTCCCCCAAAGTTTACTTCTTCTTTTGTAATCGGATGAAATCGTGTGAAATCGTGTAATCGGCGGGGCAACATTTGGAGCATAGCGGTTACATGCGTCCGCGGCGACAAGAGTCTTAAAGGGACGGGACGGCGAGTGCTCGTTAAAAGAGGCTCTCGATTCCCGCGCCGAGGAGGCCTCGGGATGTCCGCGCGCCGGATGTCCGTAAATAGCGTTTCTCGAATCGCCGAGGCGTGGCCCGCGCGAAAAAGCGATCTGAATCGGCACAAAGTCTCGGGGTCCGCGCCCGGCGGTAGACCCGGCCGCGCGAGTTTTTCTCTTATCCGCGTAGCCTTTTTCTCTTATCCGCGCGTGACCGGCAGGGTGGGCCGCCTGTTAGCGCTACGAGGACGCAATTAACTCGGACAACCGTGGTGGCAGAAGAAGCGAAATCCGCCGTGAAGCGCTTAACCGAAAAGCAGGGGGGGGGGGGGAGAGGATTGCCTCGCCGCCGTCCGCGTGGAAAAAATGATTCCGCCTTCGCACGACCATCGCAGGTCTCGCTCCCCCCGGCATTTTCTTACGCGGAGGAGCGACGTTGCTTGCGGAAACTGCGCCGTACCGCGATTCTACGATTTTCCGTTCCTATTCCAATTACGAATCTATCGCTCTCGAGTAATACGATCTCCTGTCACGCCGGTTCGTTATTTCTGCAACCGCACGCCCAACCGCTCATTTCACGCGCAATAGTCTTACACCATTTTCCGCGGGGGACAATAATGAAGATCGTTCAACTTCTACCATTATTTTTTCTCCTGGGCTCAATTCATAATTTATTCGTAATCCGTGAGCACGCGCGCGGGGCTGTATATCCAGGGACAAATTGAATAATGACGAGGACCGAGTTCGCCCCGCCAATAACAGCCCAGGGCCGGGCAACGTGTGTGCGTTCGTGGAAAGCTAGAAATTCAGTGGTAGAGCGTGCTAAATAATGAAAATTAGTCCCGACTTACGGTTTCTATCGATCGCGGCGGATCCAAACACGCCGCTAAAAACACTAGTCCGGGAGTTTGGCTGCTATAATGCAAATCGATACAGGCTACGTCGGAGCCACTTAATTCGTTATTTTTTAAACGAGGAAAATAGCATAAAGTGGCTGCGTTGATAAATAATTAGAATCGAATTAAAAGATGCACGAGACAGGTGCATTACGTATGGGGAAACAGTTGGAACGAGCCGATGAGCGAGAGGGGAAGGGGGGGGGAGGAAAGAGGGGAAAAAATGGAAGAGGTTGTCGTACCGCTCGATACGACGCAATGCTCCTTTGTGCGTATAAGCGCGTGTTACACATAAGGTACGCTTGCCGATGCGACATTAAGAGGATAAGATAAGATTAGGCCGGTGCCTGTGCAACATTGTTGCAAGCGAGGGCTTAATATCGAGGTTTTAAGCTGACACAGTTACGCGCGACGCACCGGAATTGTAATACAACTACATTTCGCCGCAACGCGCGACGCACGTGGAGAAATTTTTCTGCCCGACGTTTTGCATCGCGTTGAATCGCTCGTGTGAAATTTAACCTTAGGGTGCAATGTGCAAAAGGCGAACGTATTCACCGTCGTCATCGGTCGTCGTCTATGCAAATGCAATGACGTCATTTTGAAGTTAAACGAAGCTTACATCAACTTCTAATTTGCGTTCGTATCATTAACATTTTACTTTCGAATTTGTCAAGCGATCAGTCGTATGCAAATTAGGGACACAGGTGGACAAGCGACGATAAGAGTGTACATATAATCTAAATACAATCCGCAAAGTAAATTTCCCACAAAACAATGCATTTAATTTGTATGCACGTTCATTTGAGACGAATGTTACCGAACACAGTAATACTAAGAACTGATAGCGCTACTCAACAAATTGCACGGGACTAAAGCGCCGCGGCGGCTAGAAAATTCCACGTTAATTTTCCTTATCTCCTCCGAGGGCGCTCTCAACGGTAATTAATAAGTGCCGAAAGTTTCGAGATATACAAAATGTTTGCTACCTCAAAGGGTTTCGCAAATAAATGAATTACCAAACGTCCGTACACCAATACGATAAAAATCAATTTAAAAAAAAAACTACTGGATGTACGTCGGTTAAAAGCGACCATTGACACGGATTTTTAGCTCGCGGCTCGTCCCGTCCCGTGGGGTTATACAATTTCAAAGACGGCGATGAAACCTTAGAGGGGTCTCGGCCCTCGAGTGGGTCCGGGGGGGAGGGAGGAGAAAAAGAGAGAGGGAGGGAGAGAGAGAGAGAGAGCGGCGCGAACGTGGTAGCCGCCAAAGTGGAGGCGTTGTGTGCGCATGGTAGCGGGTCGCGTCTCGCGGCGTGGCGGACATAAAACGATTCGGAACGAATTTCGACAAATTGACGTGGCCGCCGCGAGCAACGTACTCTCCTGCGCGCCAGCCCGGCCGAGCCGAGAGCCACCACAATGAACGGACCAAGGGTACCGACCGGGCGAAAAAAAGCCCCGTCGACTTTACCCCTTTCGCCCGCCACCACCACGGCGCAGTCTTACCTGGTAGCCCTTTTTTCCCCCGCTTTCTCCTCGTCCATATCTCTATCGCCTCCACTCGCCGCGGCTCCTCCTCGGACTCTATTCCCCCAGCACCGTCCCCGTCCACCAGCGGCTAATCGATTTAACGCAACGTCGCGCGCTAATTGTT